AAAGAATTCAAAGATTTGCAAGTGAGAATAAATCTCAGCAAATAAAACATACGGCATTTCTTGAATTGCTTGTGAAATATAGAAAGTGTAAGAAAAAATGGTGAGGTTATGCCATGTGTGCAGTTCTGTAGTATGCAGGTAAAACACTCACTTACTCCAACGATACAGACTGTCATTTTTATTTTGTTCTGCTCAAGGCTTGTGACACGTCCGTTTATCCTCATTTAATAGATGATAGATTTTTTTTTTTTAAAACAACAGCAACAACAACAAACGCCTCGGGAAGCATATCTGGAAGCATTTCTTTTTATTAAGGAGTCCATCAAAGAGCATGGGGCTGCATCATTATGGTGCATCACTGAACCTGCAGAATTCTAGGTCTGAAGTCAAAATGTAGACTGTTCGCACTTCAGTTTCAAGGATTATTGCATCTTTTTTTTATTTTACAGTTAATACCAATTCATTTAGCCAGTTCCACCACAGAAAAGGTTAACTTGTGACTTAATTTACAACAAAAACAAAAGAAGCTGTGTCAGAATAACTCGATACAGACGTCTCTTATCTTAATTAGCTTCTACACAGAAGCCTCTACACACTATCACAACTGCAGTGATTAATGTTTTATACCCACTTTACTCACCATAGAGGAAAAATAGAGAACCTGGCACTCCATAGAAAAGATGAAAAAAAAAGTTACTTTTTGATAAGCGACCTTTTCGGAGTCTGAAAAAAAAACATCATGACTGAAATGATTTAGTGAATAGTATTCAGATATGCTGATGCTACGGTTCATTGCGTACTCTATTATAAAACTATATATTTGCTATTTTTTTATTGCATTTAGCTACATACGTTTCTTGAGTTTTTATGCTAGAGAACGGTTGCATCTTTGATGCAGTTGAGGACATGGCAACACGGGCTGGACTGTTATCACCGATGTAAACTAATAACAGACAATTCACGATACTTACATACATACATTATGAGTCTATTTAGCAACCACATAGATTATCACATCCATAATGTTTTCTCTGCTGGTGTACAACAGTAAATATTGTAAAAAAAAAAAAAAAGTCAAACATAGACAATAACCCACCAGTTCAGGGGGAGCACCCATAGAGCACAGATCAGCAAAATATAAAGAAAACTGAATGTTTAAACAAACACATATTGCTTAGAAAGATT